AATACAGGATGCCAGCAGCGCGCACGTGACACATACTACATGCTGCGCTACACGTGATCAACCCCTAGTTCCTCCAACTCCGTAACAACTTGTATCAAAGATGTCAAACTAATATGATAAGATTGATAACTAAGTTGAGCACGCAGCTCCTATCTAATGGCAGACGTGCCAGTCTTATATAGAACCTTCGTTCTCTCTACATCGCCTACCTCACCTGTCGATGTAGTCGACCTCCTATCGCTAACATCGACTGTCGATACAGGCGATGCGATTGATCACGTGACTACATACACGAGAAATCCCTGGATCACTTAGCTAGTCTAAGCATCCCTATTTGCTATAAGAAACCTGGATGTGTCTGTCGGGGGTTGCGCCTCTTTATTATGACAAGTATCACGTGAGCACGTGATTCGTGACAGTTGTTGTGACGGTTCTAACCGTCACCACCATTCGGATCACGTGGTATCGCTTAGCGACCCACACCAAGTATTTAGATCGAAGCTCTCTCGAGCTCTCCTCTTCTCCTCAGCTTAGAATCTTTGTTTAATTGACAGTTCTACGATTCCACAACCTACACCGTGGGCCTTGCATACGTGTCGTCACAGCTGTACTATAACTAATATTACTATTAAGTTAAGTATAAGTTATATATATATATATGTTATAGTCTTTTTATTAAATATAAAATATAAGCGTAGAGAATTCTAATTAGATTAAAAGAATAATATTTTTTTTATTTTTTTATAAAACTATATTATAAGATTAGAAGAGTTATAAAGATAGTAAGAATATAATTAAAATAATAGTTAGATTATATAAAAGTATTATAAGAAACTTTCTTTTAGCTATATAGTTAAGTATACTATCTAATACTACTTAGATAAGAGTAAGATAAGAATAGTAGTATTTATTAAGGGGGTTTACGCTTAGTACTTTCCGGATTTTAGCTTATATTACTATCAAGGGCTATTAAGTATAATAATAGTAATTAATATAGATATTATCTTTAGTATTATTAGTAGGATTTGAATTAACCTAGAACCTTAAGGTCCTAGGAAGTAGTATTTTATAGTAAAAGGTTAGATGTAACGAATACTCAAACTGGCTAACTAAACTTGGCTGGGTGTTCGCTGGTTGGTATGTGTGACGATTTTGATTTGTGTATAGTGAATGTGGTTTTAGTCACGTGAGCCACGAGGCGACGAGCTCAACTTCAAATAGCTTCAGGTCCTGGGACCTCTTTCGCTCCTCGTAGTCAATTTAATCTATCAACCTGTACTGTCCTAGACGTGCATTCTCACATTTAGTCGCTCGCCTCAGTCGCTTCAGTCGACAGGCGACTCAGGCGACTGAAGCGATCATGGTCACGTGGTACTTTAATCACAGGTCCTGGGACCTCTTTCGCTCCTCGTAGTCAATTTAATCTATCAACCTGTACTGTCCTAGACGTGCATTCTCACATTTAGTCGCTCGCCTCAGTCGCTTCAGTCGACAGGCGACTCAGGCGACTGAAGCGATCATGGTCACGTGGTACTTTAATCCGACGAAATCCATGGATCGCTTAGCTAGCCTAAGGATCCCCTTCTGCTATAAGAGTTATGATAATGCTCGACCTGTCAGGGCGCCGCCTGGTCTTCACTATCTCCCGTGGTAACACGTGATTCGTGACATTAGAATATAGAAAGGAGGAAGTTATTTTCTCTTAAAGAATAGTAGTTAGTCTAGATATAGAGACTATTATACTTTCTTTATCTATAGAGTCTTTATATAAATTATAGATTCTTTAGTATTTAAGTTCTTTATTATACTCGCTTTATTTAAACTTTCGTAAGTATAGTAATTAGAGTAGAGAGATAAAAGGGGACTTTATATTTATAAAAGTAATAAATAGAGGTAGATTAATTACTAATCCTTTATTACTAATCTTTACTTAGTAGGGGATTATAAAGTATAAAATCCGAAAAGTAGAGACGTCTACTATATAGTACTGAGATCTCTACTTTTAACTACCTAATTAGGCCTATATATAAAATTTTTGTACGTGTACGAGAATCTCTGCTACCGAGTTCCCAGAGGGTTTTGTAATTTCGCTTCGAGTTTCCTTGTGTGAGTGTGAGTGTGAGTGTGAGTGTGAGTGTGAGTGTGAGTGGGTGGTTGAATGGTTGGAGATGGGGGTGAAGAATGTCTTGGGTATCAAACGGCATATTTACAAAGACAAGTTTGATTCGATACTATGTGAGCCATGTTCAAATCGAGAGCAAAGTGCAAATCAATGAGGTCTCATAATCTTACAATTTGAAAGCCCGCAGCCGCCAAGAAACTCAAGATCACGAAAAAAAAAGAAAGGGGAAGAGCAGCAAATAAAAAATAAAATCTAAAATATACTACGAAACGCCTGGAATGCTATATGATAGGTACTAATAATACAAAGATATCCCTCTCTCCACCACCGGACATCCCGAAGAAGAAGGTGCAAACGAATAACAAGACCAAGGAAATCTTCCCCAGAAAAGCAAGAGAACTCCAGATCTAATGCACCAATCCCTCTTGAAACGCCGGTGTAAATGCTAAACATTAAGGAGATCCATCTTTTCGTCTCATGTCCCTTTCATCTGAAAAATGTACAAACATGGAAACCATAAAAGCATAGGAAAGGTACTGCAAGGAGAAGAGAAGCGAGAAAAAAGAAGGAAAAAACTCCGACAAGATCGTGAGATCTACGTATGCGTCTTGGATGTGCTGGCCGCCGTGTGAAAATGCTCGATGAAGTGAAGAAAAGGTCGTGAGACCTGTATGCGTCTTTTTTATAATGTTGCTGGGATGAAAATGGTGAAAAGATATGCGCCGGTGAAAATGCTGGTAAGAGATGTATCGCTATGCTCGCTCGCTGAATCGCAGAGTTGGAAAAGCCAGTTGGAAATGCAATGAAGTTGGAGTTGAATGCCGGAAAGAGGGAAGAATTTGCTGTGTTTCCACCAAAAGCCTTTTTGTTGAAGAGCCTTTGGAGAGGCTCGTGTCCGGCTCTTTAATTGTATCCTCCACGTCCATCTTCCTCCTCGTCATCGTCTGGGCCACGGTTGTAACCGCCACGACCAAAGTTCATGGGTGCCAGAGGCTTTTGATTGTCGTCTTCTTCGGATGAAGCTGGCCCGTTGTAGCCACCACGGCCAAAGAGGATTGGTTGGCTTGAGAATGAGTTGGATGCCATTGCGAAGGTTGGTGTTGGGTTGGTTGGACGGTGGGGAGATATGTTGGAAAGGGTGAGAGAGGATAATGTATAAGAGGAAAAGATGGATTTATAAGAGTATGAGAGGGGCTTGAAGGATATTATATAAATCTTTGAGGCTTGGTTGAGGCGTTGGGGTGATACAAAGGTGGATGGAAGGACGATGTTGATATAGCAAAGTAGTAGAGTGAGATACTGGAAAGATCAAGAGAAGATGTTGGAGACTGTTGATTAGATGCTTGTGTGTGGAATGAAACAAAAAAGAGATGGTCTGAGGCGTTCCATGGCTCCCTCTATATACGTTTGAGAAATGTTCCCAATGTATGGATTGCAAGGGGGCTTGGAATCTTTTGCGTGGGAAGAAGCTGGCTGGCTATGGCACTAGCAGAGTAGTGCGTAGGGTTTAGGATGTGTGCAACGAGTCGACCAGTCGACCAGTCGACCAATCGACCCGTACAAATCTGTCCCATGGGTTTATGACTGCATTGGGGGCCGATTAGATGCTGCTGCGGCTGTTTCTGCCTGGGTGCACCTTTTTGGGTCATGGCTTCGGTGTCTGGGAGAGGAGTCGGAGCCAGTTGTGGAGCGGGCGACTCGGAGGAGGAAGGGGGCGGGGGGCTGGCCTGGGTATTCTGGCTGACATGACGCTGATGACTGTTCTCAGCCTTCTCGAATCGGCCCTCAACTCGAGGAGAGAATGGTCAACCTAAGCAACGCAACGTACGCTAAGAAGGTAGCTACGCCAAAGGACCCGTGAGCGCCGCCAGGCCAGGTATTGTAGGCTAGGGACGGTAGGCTAGGTACGATACCAAATATCGTGGGTTGGGAAGCGTGCAGCGCAGTGCAGACACCGTACAGGACACCATGACCATAACCATGCACTTGCATGGCATCAGCATGGAAGAGCGTGCGTGTTCCTGAGCCAGGAGTGAGGTTAGAGTGAGGTTAGAGTGAGGTTAGAGTGAGGGTGAGGGTGAGGGTGAGGGTCAGGGCGAGACTGAGGGTGTCGAGGCCATGCGATGCCATGGGATAGCAACGATGGGTGAGAGCCGGAATTGGTGTTGTAGTATCCAAGTCCATCCATTGGCGTGTGGGTGGTCGAGGATGTGCTATGCATAGAAACGAAACAAAACTACCTGCACCCCCTCCCGCTATAGTTGGCCCGCCAGAAAATCCCAGCTTGCAGGCTTGACAGTTGCAGGTCCAGGTCTGTCGCCGACCACCACCACCACCCCTACCAAAACCGTCTCCTCGGGGTCCACTGAGCATCAGGAACACAGAACGAGTATTCCAGGTACTCGTACTGCAAACAACTCCGGGACGTTTTGGGACGTTCAGGAATCTGTTCTTCGGACCAATCTTCAGGTCACAGCAGCAACGATGAACACGAGTAGCACTGCAACATGCTCATTGCTCCACTCGATGACACTGTTTACCCTCACCGGCGCGGCGCAGTGCCATTGGATATACCATTGATTGGAATACTATTGCTGCAACGCTCGTAAAACAGGCAGGCGCAGCAGTCACGACGGCTCCAGAATGGAAATTGTTGAAGATGAATAGAGCATCATCGCCGAGACTCAGGCACCATTCGTCAGAATCTGGGTGGACTTGGTAAAGTACGCAACAAACGAATCTGCGCGGCGCGGTGGCCTGCCTTTCTTGTGAGACAATCGAACCTACATTTAACCTTGGTCTTGAGCGCCAGTTCCTGCAGAGAGTGCCATGTAGCCATGTTTCTGTCTTCCTAAAGAGGAAATCTACGAGAAGATGCCACCAAGAAACTCGATCCACAAGGAACACCAACGCACATCCGTCTTGCTGGCCCTATGCTATGGTTACAGCGCCTACAGCAGCCATCTCCAGCACCCTCATGGCTGGCCGCAGCAACGGTCTCCCGGACCCGAAGATCGTCCTCGCTTTGAAGGGTCTCATCAGGGGCCAAGCGAGGAGGTGGACACTATCGCGATGGCCCGTATAAATTCCCACAACCTGGGATATTCTTAATCAACCTGATGTACGCATCAATAGCCGTATGGAATTATACAAAACCCTAGTCGAAACAGCTGCTATTTGTGAGTTTGTAGCATGGATTTTCATCCTAACCCATGTCTCGGTAAGGATGATTGATGGGTGACCACGAATGAGAGTGTACAATTGAACATAGGGCTGAAATATACTCCTTCTTCTCTGCACCAGGCTGATTAACAAGGGCGTGGGTCCAAGCCTTTTGTGGAGACAGAGACCCAAAATACCACCCTACAGTTCTGACCCTTGGCGATTTCCATGTGGCAGAAAGCCACACCGTATCACAACTTAACTAGGGTTATAAATAACCGGCCTTCATACGCAGCATGATTGGCCACATTGCGAATGAGGTGTGGCTCACCAAAGTACTTGCGAGGGTAAGCTGATGAAAGGTTCGAATAAATTTCCAAAGTAGGCAACGAGAACCCTGAGCAGAATTGTGGAGAGGACATCTCCCGCGCCCAGTCGTAAGTTACACCACAACTGCCAGGTTGTCGGCAAGGTATCAGACGGAGCCTCCTGCGGTGAACTCTTGTACCTTTTATGGTGGCCTGAGGACGACGCCATGCTCTGCAGGCATGCAGGGGTGGTCAAGCATATGTTGAAGAGAAGGAAAGAGTCAGATATTATTCAGATAAACGACTTGATCTGCAATGGGAATTTACTGCAGACACCGAGTGACTCAATCCGGTCATCTGGAAATGGAGTATTTGTAATGCTCTTTGCTTCGTAATGCCTGTTGGAAGTATGATTTGTCTAAAAAAGGGTCAATGAGGGTCCTTTGGGGGTGAACTGGGTGAGATTGCGTGGGGGATGGAGCGTGCTGGAATGAGCCAGATTTGTTGACTTAGCGGAAGGAACGGCTACAATCGCAGCGTGACGATGACGCGGGAAAACTTCCGTTGGAAGTTCCAGGTTTGGGAAATAGAAGAGGACGATTCATCCCGTGAGGCCCCAGGGGAACATCCGAGTCCGAGTCCAATGGCATACAGAGGAGAGTGTTTCGGGAATGTTTTCTCATCTCAAACACAAATCTCATTTCTTCTCCCTGATTGTTCATCCTCGGGGCAATCCATCGGGGGTGGCAGCGCAAGACAGAGGAGGGGCGTAGGTAGGAGCTAGTGGGGGATTACGACCCGCAGGACGACAGGATGGGGCTCTCATGGTGATGGAGGGTGCTTTCGCTTGTCGCATTTCGATGATGTTGTGCTTGTGTTGATTGTGGGCAAATCTCAACGTCTGCCGTCCTCGCTTCGGGGGTTTGTTGTCCCGGTCGACTGCCGCCCGGCCAATCCGTTCAGCTCGCCACCCAAAGGCTTCGCTTCTCTGACTACACCAACCACCAGCACCACCGCTGCACAACAGTGTAATTCAATGCTCAATGTCACTCGCCGACCTCAACTCACCGTTCAATGCACGCAGTCTTTGGGAATAACTTCATTTCAACAGGTACTCTGCTCAGCCCAACAAGCGGTGCGGCGGATGACGAGACGAGACGGATTTGACCGTTTTGAAGCTTCTGGCAACGTTGCTTTCTGGTGCTGGCTGGAAACGCCATACAAGACTGTACCGGCAGGTGATTTGAGCCAGCCGTGGTAGCGGCTCGTGTACTCGTACATCCAAAACTCGACCAACAGTATACTAGCGCTACAATATTTGGTAGCCTCCAGTCACGATGTTGCATCTCATCTCATGAGCCCCCACCGATGACTACAATCTTATCAATCTCCTGCGCTGCATTATCCTCTTTCAAAGTGGAAACCGAGCCTTGAGTGCCTTGCGCAGGGGGCAGAAATCTCTGCGCAGGAGAACTGGGAGAAAACCAGTCGAGCTTAGATTGTGCAGTAATCGACCCCAGAAAACATGTCTCTGCTAAAAATTTCGTCGAGGGGATTTCCTTCTTCCCAAAACCCCTGACAAAATGAATTGCACTGTCATCCATTTGCCGGTCAGCGGAAATGCTTGGCCGTCGCTTATCTGACTTGGAGTTTTGTAGGGAATTCAAGGGGTTCATCCCATGTTCGCGCCTAAACGGGTAGCAAAGGCACTCCCCCGGTTATCCTCCCCTCCCAGCAAGCGCTGACAAAGATGCCAGGGATTTTGCCGCCGGGCAGGAAATAACTCTAAAGATAGAAAATATACTTCTGTTCCTCCAATCAGCATCTCGGACTCGTTATTCAACAAGCAAAATAACGTGTAATCCTACCACGCATGTCGATTAGAAGATAGGGTGGTGATTGAGGATACTGAGTTCATTCTATCAATAACCCCTCCAGATTCATCTTAACATCTTACTTGCACCTTGGGTTCAAAAAAGGCATTTCGGTGACGGATCAAGTGTTCCACATTCCAGCTTTTCTTTCTCCTCGATTCCATTCTATTTGTAAATTATGAGTCGAATTATAACCATCAACCTTCTGGCGACTTGGAAATGACTTACTGCTTACGCCGCAGTGCTACAGATAGATGAAGTCGCACCGTATCGATTCCGGGTGTGGCAGCCTAGAAGGATCCTCGTAATCGGTACCCAGGTACCTTGATCTGGCTTGTGTTACAATTGTATCTTGGAGCTTGAGCTAGATTTCATTGGGCCAAGCTTCAGTGTCGATTACCACCCGTGGATCTCTAATACGAAATATCTCGTACGCCGCAGAATCCCTCTTCAGATTCAAGATGATGGCTGTCGTGCTATGGATATGAAGGATTCGTACTTGCGGCTTTGTATCTGGAATTTGTGCTGCTCAACATCACTTGGTGCATGCACTGCGCAAGTAGGCAGAAGCAAAACTCGCTTGCGAATCCAAGCGGCTCTTCTGTGCCCTTTCCCAGCTTTCCTTCTTCTGTATAATGGGGGCTATTATGAAGCACAAGTGCAAAATGGCAGGTTGAAATCAACGTTTATGCTAAAGGGGGTGCCAGGGAAAATGAATAGCCAATCGGTTGAAGACTTTCCGACGAATCGCTTTCTCAAGCTCGTCTAGTACGTACGTATACCTTTTCCAAACAGCAGCACAAAGCCATATGCATGTCACCAAGTCACAGTTGGCGGCTTATGCCACGTTTTACCCCTATCATGCCATGCATTGCGCAGCATGTCACCTTCGGGTCAACATCATTTTGGGCCAATCAGAGAGCACAACGCAGTACCATTTGTGCCCAATGTGCCGGGTATTCCACCATTCCAGCAAATGAGTTCCCCAGAGACCGTTGGGGGTCTTGTCTGGGGGACTGCGGCACAACCAGTTCCGTAAGTCGGGGAATTTATTACCCTTCCTCTGATCCCTATTTTCTCATTCAGCGGAGAACACATTCCACACCAAGCACGCTCTGAAAGCCCATGGACCATGACCGCTAAATAAGGCTTTGGAGTTGCGCCATTCAAAGGGCCGAATAGTCTAGTCGGTGACAAGCAACCAAGCCAATCCCATAGCTGAATATCCCGAATGATTTCCCATGCTGCGGTCAAACACGTTATCACAACGTGGGAGCAAGGACTTCTTCAGCGGCATCTACTTCGTATCACGCATGGAAGACACACACTATGCAATGTGTGTAGGTAGCTTCCAATCAAGAGTCTCATCTGCATCTTTGTTGAAATGACAAATATCCAGGGACACGACTTCCGAGTCTTCCGGTGCTGCGGATGATAGAACACGTTCTTGCAACGTGGAACTTGCACACCTCTCTCATGCGTCTTTCGAGGGTGGGAACAGTAGCCGTTGAATAGGATTTTAACTGCCTATCCTTTACCATCCTCCCGTCTCTTACTTTCGCGTGGATTATCCGCAATTGCCAATACCACTGGGTGATCCTACCTTGAACCTTCTCACCAATCTCCAAACTCACCTCAATACCTAGATATTAAGACTACCGATTCCACCGATCCCTTATCTCTTTCCAACCTCCAGCTGCCGCGTTCAACCAAGCACCTCCCTCCCCCTCCTTCCACCCCCCACCAGAAGGAGGCTGGAGAAAAAAAGCCCAAAATCCCAATCGGCAGGTTCCATTCCTTACCGAAACCATACCTCACCGTGCCGTCTCGCGTTCCCTTGCAAAAAGCCACGCGGAAATTATCCAATTCCTTCTACAGTAGCTCGAGTCCCACGGCTGGAGGGAAGGTAAATCACCTTACAGTACAGTACTTGCCCAGTGCGGACATGTATATCCATATCCATATCCATATCCATATCCACATGCACATCATCATCATCTTCGTCCAGGCACCATTACATCCTCCCCTCTATCCAGCACGGTGAACATACAGGATCTAACATTCATTTACACTCATCCATAGCCCCACAAGTATGACGTGACTAACCAATTTGTAATTCACCCTCCCTCGTAAACTCCCTCAAATGTACAGTACAGTATCTATGCACTTCACCGCGTCCCGTCACGTCACGTCCCGACGAAATTGTGGAATTTCTTTCGCGCTTTCATTTCGTTGAGGGGGCTGTGTGGTGTGGTGTGTGGTGTTTCGTTTGGTGGATTCGTGGGGGCGGAAACGGTTACTCGGCTCGCCTCGGCTGGGCCTGGGCTCGTAAGTTGCCGGTTTGGATGGGCGGAAGCGAGGGGCTTATCGGGGCGTGCGATTCGTTGGGTGCCTATCCTAAGCTTGGGATACCGTGGGGTTTTGGGGGTGTGAGGTGAGGGGGTGCATTGATTGGGTTTTGATGGTTTGTGTGTTTGGTACTGTGGTTTTGATCGGTGGTGGGTCGGATGTGTATAGGAAGAAGGGTTCGGTACATATTGAGGGTTTGGTTGGCTTTATGGAGGAGCTTTATGAACGATCTATTGAAGGTTCAATGTTTAAAAATTGGGTTATTATTTTGTTGATCTGGTTAGTGGTTGCCTAGTTGTAACTGTTTGATAGTGTTTTGGGAAACAAGGATAACTTACCACAGTATTAAGTTGTTGGTAGTTGAGACCTTTTTGGGTACGACGTGCTCTTCTATCAGTTATAGGTTGGTTCAAGTACAGGAGTATATAGGATTGTGACTGGTAACTAACAACCTCAAAAGGAGTTGATTAGTTGTGATTCATGTATGACAAAATTACGTGTTGTTTCGTTACGGGAATGGCTTTGATCTTTTGTTCTGAAAACGTAGATTCTTTCCCTTCTCCCTAGATAAGGCACCCCTACCTCTAGATAAGTATAGCTTATCACTGATAATGTTTAGTTCAATAATACAATTATACGTCTTGTCCATCTTATTCTTTGCGAGTTATATACGTACTCTTCCCATGCAATGCCAGTCTTCGAAAAGTCACAAAGCAGATGAACTATGAGCAGTGATTTGCTTGGTAATATTGACAGCCTTCTCACGATGATATATTTTGTTGAATTTCGGTGGAGCGAATCTGAGATTGTGGTTGATTGATTTGGTTTCTTGTATGTTGGCGTCTAAAATTATGCTCTCTATACAGTAATAGTATATGCTAGAGTGGATCTGGAAGACCAGCGTTGAATACAGACCAGAAATGTATTAACCGTTAATTCATTTACTTGTTTCACTAGAGCTTCCGCTTTGCACTTACGGACGAACCGAATTTATGAGCAAACGATAATGAGAAGGCTGAATTGAAGCAGGAACTTTTGATATAATGGTAAAGAAAACTTTGCCATATGCGAAATGTAAAAGCAACACTTTTGACATACTATGACTACTTCAAGAGAGAGGATCACAAAGATTCTTGTATTTGACGGGTTTGATCAGGTCGCCTTTGAACAATCATTGCTGATGGGATATCTTGTCAAAGTTTGGGCAACACTGCGCACGAAGTACCATCGAAGCATCAGAAACCAGTATGAGCTCAAGCGGAGATTGAGTGTGTAGTTAAGCGATATCGCCTGGTGACCCTTGACCGGTATACAATTCACCCTATTGTGACACAACCATACGCAAAATCACGAGAAGCTGGGATCGACCCAGAGTTCTACCCTGAGAACCAAGATATATCCATTCAAGGTTTTCCGGGTCGTTTACTTGGTTTGCAATGGGCAGAAAGTTGTGGGAGGTTTTAGGGCCATCGCCATTTCAAACCTCCAACAAGACCGGCACGTTTTGCTCAAGAAGGGCGACTTCCCAAATGGGAGTGAAAAAGTCCAGATTTCCATAGGTTAATTTGTGCTGGCGTGTAGATACTCACCCACTCGCCCATGGCTCCTTCCTCCTCGGGAAATCGGAATCTCTCTGGCCATACCACAGGGCGGGCTTGACACGCGCTAGAGCTGTTCACATAGTTACGTCCTCCATTCATGGTTTCGTTTGTCGTAACCATTCTTTTGACACTACTCCATATCCCACAATCCTAAGATTCTTCAATTTCGATAATCCCTACCGTGTTCTCTATCTCGCTTGCGCTTCCTTTCTGTCCCTACCCAAAAGCCTGAGGGGAACGTGCCTCTTATCAGGACCTCTTATTCCAGTACATTTTACCAAAACCGAATATGGTGCAAGTTCGAACTTCAGACAATCGACGCTTGGGACCAAAACAGATTCTTGCTACATCTGCGGTTCAGAGCCTGATTCGGTATGGTAATCATTATGTATGCCTGGGCTTTGTGATACTGATGTTTCTGGTAGATATTATACAAGCCATTGCAATACACGACAGGATTTTTGGACAGACAAATCCTTCGTTCCACTGAAGACTTGCATCTCTTCGACGCCATCGCCGATCAACCATCCCCACCAACATACATCATCCGTCGACGAGGTTCTGAATGGGAGTCAACAAAAAGCCGATCCTTTGCAACATGACCCAACACTCAGTGCCCTTGCACAGCTGGGGGCTTTGCAGCTTAATTGCCAGCGAGCCTTCATCTCTTTGATCGACCACCAAAACCAATACGTTCTTGCAGAAGCAACACGGAGCATTTCACTCGATTGTTCTAAGCAGAGCCGTTCCGCGGATGGGCTTTATCTCGGCGCCCAACTAATTGATCTGGAATCAGGTGGGCTTTGTTCAATTTGTCTCCCTTCAACATCGCCGGCAGAGTTCCATATTGATTTTGAATTATATCAGGCATTTGTCCGGAATCGATACATGTTTTCATGGCCGAGGATAACAGCAGAGACATATTGACACCAAACATCCGGGCCAATCGCACTTTATATACCATAAACGACCTTTCGATAGACAATGCTTCCAAAGAAAAAGAATTCGTGGTTGGGTGGCCCCATATGCGATTTTATGCCGAAGTGCCAATCAAAACATCATCTGGAATACTTATTGGCTCATATTGTGTAGTAGGTTAGTGTCTGTAGCATTGTCTTCGCTTGAAGGTTCAATGCCAAGTAAAGATTCGGGAAGCCATCGAAGTTGATAACTGATCTATCGATAGATAATAAACCTCGGCGCGGTCTGGATTCTGAGAATTTTAGAAAACTCAAAGAAATCGCCTCGGTTGTTACTAGACACCTTGAATTGGTTCAAGCTCATAAAAACTTAGAGCGATCGAGAGATATGGTGAAAGCGTTGGGTTTATTTGTTGAAGGAAAACCGAGTCTTAGAGAATGGTGGACTGATGCTTTTAACGTGGAAAGTGGTTGTACTAATGTCGAGAGCCTGCAAAGCAAGGATGGGGATCGCTCACCACCATCCGTAGATGATCTCACAGTGGCTTCTGATAAATTGGAAAACTTTCTCAGAGTGGAGAGCTTTCTTAAATCTGCGAGCGACTATGAATTGCGACCAAAGGAAGCGTCCACGCGCAGTTCAAGTCCAGACGAAATAAAGTCAACAGCTGCTACGGTTTCGAACAGAGCTCCAGAGAGTCGTGCTGATTCTTTGGGAAGACCCGGCACCGTTGCATTGACACCAAGCATTTCTGAGATCCCAAATCCGACGAAGGAAGAGAAAGATTTGATTCAACAATATAGACCATCCACAACCAAGCTTGCCCAACAGGACTTGATGTCGTATGCATCAATCAAAGCACTATTCTCCCGTGCTAGCCATTTGATTCGTGATGCGAGCGATCTAGATGGTATTCTCTTCGTGAGCGCTTCACTTCAAAATGTAGAGGTCAAGTACGCCAAATCATCGGTAACCACAAATACACCACAAACAGCAACGACTCCTAGTCGTGTTGTTTCGGACACCCAGAGCAGCGCAAGCGCACAGTCCAGCAGGAACGGTCAAACCAAAGAGGCTCTGTCGCCTGGCTCATTCACCATTTCGATTGGTAGGACCGCCTCTAACCATCCAGGAACGGACCACAAATTGTCGACTTGTGATATCTTAGGTTACTCAATAGACAATAAAGGTTGCGGTGGGGGTTTAGAGCCTGCTGGACACCAGTTGAATATACCACAGTCTGTATTGCGTGGCCTTCTTAGCAATTATCCTCATGGAAACATATTTCTATTCGATGAAGACAGCTCCCCGTTCTTGTACGAGGACATCGATCCCTACTCTACAAGCGGAGAAACTCGAAAACCAGAATCGGCCTCCAAACGAAGATTGCGGAAGTTTGAGAGAGAAAAGCAACAAATGAGATCTTATCAGTAAGTCAGTTATATAATCACTGGATCTGATCCAAAGTCCAACCAGAATTTGACAATTACTCCCTTCTGTTTCTGCATGTTAGATTGGCGTTCACTATGCAAAAAGCGTTCACTGATTTGCTGCTGTTAATAGATTACTTGATATATGCCCAGGCGCTAGAGCAATCATCTTTTTCCCTCTTTGGGATCCTCAAAGGGACCAATGGTTTGCCGGGAGTTTAGCGTGGACCAGAGACCCGTGGAGGATCTTGCATTCTGAGGATGTCACTTATCTTGCCGGATTTGGAAGTTGTATCATGGCAGAGAAGTCAAAAATGGATGCACTAACCGCAGATCGGTCCAAAGCAGATTTCATCTCATCTATCAGCCATGAGCTACGAACTCCACTTCATGGTCTGCTGGCCACGTTAGACATAATAGATGGCATCTCAAGAAACGATGAAGAAGATGAATTGATTCGAACTATGACAACTTGTGGGGAGGTTTTGCTCGATACCATGGACCACATGTAGGTTTTCAGAACTCGATACCTGGGTAAAGAGGGAAACTAGATCTGACTAACGCTCGAAAAGTCTCGATTACGCCAGAATGAGTGCCTTCCGAAAAAATCAAATCCCAAAGAGTGAAAAAAAGCAAGATCCCGGAGCCCTCGTGTTATCGAATGGAATTACATCCTTTGATTTTAGCAATATGGTAGAAAGCGTTGTTGAAGGAGTCCTGGCAGGCCATCGCTACCGCAGTGTGGATAGACGGTCAAAAAGTTCTGTGGTCATACAGGAAGATACAATGCAGCAGAAGAACTTCAAACCAACACCCCCTGGCATAAATCCGGATGTCATGGTTGTTCTTAACATACAAAAACAACCGTCTTGGCTCTTTGAGTCACAAATAGGTGCATGGAAGCGTATTCTCACCAACGTTTTCGGAAACGCACTCAAGTACACGGATGCGGGATTTATCAAAGTGTCACTTCGCTTGGAGGCACTTCCAGAGCGCACTCAGCCTAAAGGTGTGGTGTCAGTCGTTCTTGAAATAGAGGATACTGGCATTGGAATGTCCCGGGACTTTTTGACAAATAGGCTGTATATGCCATTTGCTCAGGCTAACCCTATGTCTGTAGGAACCGGGCTTGGACTTAGCATGTAAAGTGGAACTTCATAATGGGATTGAGAATATGCTAACATCTTTTTTTCCTGGCAGCGTACGGCAATTGGTAACCGACATCGATGGTTGTATTGACATTGAGAGCGAGCTCGGTTACGGTACGACAGTCAAAGTCTCTGTTCCTTTAAAGCCATCGGATATCCCAGATTCTAACACACAATCGATCGGGAGTACAGCCATGATTCGTGATATCGGTGTCTGGTGCCGTGACGTCACGCTGTGCTTAGTCGGATTTGATCAGATCTTAGATATAGAAGAGACTCCATTTGGTATGGTGAGCATTCATGGAAAAAGGCTTGCAGCTGTGAAGGAATCCATTACCACACTGGCAAGAAACTGGTTTGGTATGAGAGTTACAACAGCGCAATCGATAGCAGAGTCTGAAGGAGGAATTCTTCTAGGGTTACAATCACAAATCAATGAATCCGAGAAGATGTCAAGACGAGAAGCGCTTATCGTCTTGGAAGATGTCTTCAAAGGATCCAAGGTTTTTAGGGAGGAAGGAACCTTTCATTTGTCCCAACCGTAAGATCACATTTCTCTGAAGAAATGAGAACATGCTGACAAAAGTTGAAACTTACAGTGTAGGTCCCTATAAGCTCGCAAGAATTATTGGGTTGTGTTTGGAATATCAATCTTCCTTTTCTGATACAACAGCAACGCCCTCAACGAGACCCAAGTTTAACCGAGCGCACTCGTATGGATTCTCGCAAGTTCTAGTGGGAAGAACTCAAGTCGACGATGTAACATCGCCAGCAATGGATACTCCAGATTCTGATAGAACGATGGTCGCAAGGCAGCTATCTCCGAAGCAAACCGGTGAAACACAAATCTCGTCATATCTTAAAGTGGAGAGTGACGAGAGTGGCACACCCAGAAGAACCGACTCTGCAGATGTTCCCATGCCAAAATCGATGGCTCTCCTCGTGGAAGATAATCCCATAAACCTCAAGGTTTGTTTATTGATTGCCATTTCCTTCTCGGATTTCATACCGTGACGATGCTCACCAAAACCAAACAGATACTCGTGAACCACATGAACCGGGCAGGGGAGACGCACACCACAGCAGTCAATGGCTTAGAAGCTCTCCACAAATACCAAGCTGGGCATAAATCTTTTAAGATAATATTTATGGGTAGATATGTCTTCTGAAAACTTAGCGCCCTGACTAATTTCAATAGATATTTCGATGCCAGTCATGGATGGGATTTCTGCAACGCGTAAAATTCGGCAGTTCGAAAACGAGAACTCTCTTCCCCGTGTGCGGATCGTGGCTTTGACATGCTTCTCGTCTGATGAATACCAAAAGAATGCTTTTGAGGCAGGTGTGGACATCTTTTTGGTCAAGCCGGTGCTCATGAAGAACCTACTTCCACTATTAAAGGATTTAGATGTAGTTGCGCCTCCGCGTGCATCTAGAGGGTGTTAGGATTGGATTATGGTTATAAATGGGCCTTAAACCTCGTCTTCGAGAGATTGTAAAAGTGGTGGTTGTTGACTGAGTGCATGGCGATGATGGAAGAGCTTTAACTACATGAAGTACGTGTACTGTAGATTGTATGATTTGGATTTCTGAATACAATATCGATCCAACAATTGGAAATGAAAACAATGGAAATACTTCCATTTGGTGATTGAACTATTAGGTTACGGGTACTTCCAAACTAAAATGTAGAGAATAAGGTACAGATGCGAATTGTGTCGATGTAATCTTACGGCGTTCTTGGATGACGTGGCCAGCTCCTAGCTACAGATTCAATATCTTCTCTTGAGAAAGTGAAAGTGGTTGTTAATACATATGGGTACCTGGGGAGGCATGTATCTCGTTTCACGGCGGTAGCGAGGACTGTCAGTCTCACCTAAGCAGACCCTTGCCTCGTCGGCAGTGACCCTTATAGAGCCAGCGTAGAGTCAAGATTATCAAGGGCTTCCAGAGAGTTCTCGTTTTCGTCAGGTATTGCTCACTCGCTGTAGCTCTTACTTTGAGGTTGTACGTGATTACCTAGAGAACAGCACTATTGCTGTCGTGCAATGGAACGGGGATTCCCTGTGACGCGCGTGGAGTAGAAATCTTCAATGTGAAGGTTAATCTGCAAGTTGTGTGAAGCTACACAAGTACAGTACAGGCACAACTAGATGTCTAATCCTGGCAAATAGTCTCTATTCTAAGGGACTTCATATGGTTATACAGTGCCCTTGTAATAAAAGAGCCAAGAATGCGGCTCGAATGTTCGGGTAAGAAGCATGACTTGCTTCTTAAGAAGGCTTTGTTAACTGAGAATCGACTTGCAAATAATCTAAAGGATGGGAAAGCCTAATGCGCATGGTTCGGCAATTTCCACATGGAGATTCTGGAGAATAATGGGCGATGGGTGCTAGGATTCTCTATTTTTAACGCGAGGACGTTGGCATGTAACTTGGCTATGGGTGCCAATTGTTGCAAAATACCAGGACAATAAGTACGAAGGACTATGTATGTAGTAGCAGACATGATGAAGCTTGTCGATGGATCTCTTAGAGACACCGGTAAGATTCGGTAAAAGGAGAAAATGAATCCTGAATTGTAACCCAATGAACATTCCGGCGCCGCTAGTATACTAAGACGGTCGAATCTATTGGCAATTACCACCCCGGGCAGGTAAGTCTTTGAACATGAAAAAGAGCTGTTTGTATTTCTAAATTCTACGGTATAGTAGCTGAAACGCACAAAAGCAACCGCTATTTATTATTTTGGTAATAGCAGAGATTCTAACAATACTTATGGTCAAGTCTTGATGATTGTGGTTGTCCCAATCCACGGGTCAAATCGATATCTCTCGTAGCTAATAATCAACAATTAATATATCTACAGTTGTCAGTTAATAAAGTTGCAGGATGACTTCACCACAAAATTCGGTTTCATAGATATTTGATGCTTTCCAAGGTTGGAATTGTGGTTTATCGAATTGACGAATGTTCGACATAAAACCAGAAACCCAGTCTCAAAGTGATTCACCTCATTTTTGTCTCATACTAGCTACATGGTGATTGCAAGGCACTTTTCTCACGCCGCAAGGGCCATTACATAAAATGGACGCTGTGAGAAAGGTCGTAAACATTACTCCATACACTCGGAGAGGTTGAAACAGACACCGCATTGGGTTGAGAACTAGAATGTAAGTTCCAAATCATATAGTCAAATTACGGAATGAAGTCTAATCCCATAATAAATGAATTCGCATTCGATTAGCCTCTAGTTGCCAATTGAATGAGCCCTCTTTAAAAAGATCTATCGGAATAGAAATGGCTGTCGAGAAAGATATAGTTGTAACGTCACTCGTAGACCACCAAAATTCACATTACACCAAACTAACGCCTTTTGTAGAGCCCAAATTATCACCTATTACTTAGCTCTTACTCCAAGCTGGCAGAAATGACACTACGATATGCCCTATCTACCTACGTACCTACCCAATGACTGATCCCCACATCGTTGGTAAACATCCCCGCTTGATACATTTCCCATCAACAAGCAACCTTCATCACCTTTGTGGCTCCCTCATACTTAGATCTTGTCAAGATTGAATTGAGCCAATCGCATCAAACAATTATGTTTTACCCCTTTCGTCTCTGAACTTTGGGGCGCAATTCCAACACAAGCAGTGTACCAGATTAAAAGGTCTCGTAGCAGCTAACCGCTGGACGGTCTCTCGTTACAGATTAGTCCGCTTCTCGATTGGGAATAGGGTACTCGCGTTTCCAGGCCCTGATTCCGGGGTACTGGCAAGCGGAAGTGCAAACCCAGATTTTGACTCCCGCATATTGCAACGTACACTGGGTGCTCCTGCCTCTCTTAGAAAACAAGTGACCCGGATACGTGGTTAGGTACCTATGCGTGAATGACAGAATCATGCAGAAATTCACATGCATACGGTGGCTAGCTTAATGACTCAGGTCCTACTACAACAACTGGCGATGAAAAGAACCGCTCGTTTAGAGAATATTATTGAAACCATGGCAAGAAAGATAGATATAGCTCAACTCCCCGCAAACCATCTTAGTCTCCCCGTCAGGGGCATGTGGGGGAGTCTGTGCTCATAGATAAGGTTGCTACCACTTTCAATCAAATAATGGGAGAGCTGGATCCATTTTTGGATAGGTAGGTCTATCCTTGATACCTCGATGTTTTTTCTTGCCGTGGTTTTCGGCAGTCATTTCGAGCCAAACTCTTCAGCCATTTCGATCAGCCTTGCAGTATTCTGCGGTTACCAAGAAGAAGCACGCAAGTAGAATCACGCAACCTGCCTATTTCAACTCTGCCATGTGATATCAATTGCAAAGCTAACGGTTGAGACTGCTATGTCCACGTAGGAGTATTATCGCCGAGGGTTTGTGGATTAGTTACACACAGTGCAGCAAAGTTACTGTTAGCATCTGTCGAGCTTTCCCAAAAGTTTTGAGAAGGGTTAGATAGTCCGAAAAAGGTTCCAAACAGAGGCATATTCTAGTGACTTTGCTAGCAGCTGGGAAATGTTTCGCGAGTATCGTGATAAATCGAGACTTACTATGATCTCCAGACTTCAGTGGCAAATATTACAAGTGACCATGGCTTCACTCCAAAATGATGTTGATAACGATGGCTTGCCTTGCTGGTATCAAGAGAAGCTGGGCGCATTGGCCCAGAGTGTCTGATGCAATACAGTAGCCGACCCACTGTAGAGTCTAGACAATGGAAGGCAAGTTCAACATAGGTATTATTACCTTAAAATTACTTGCCAATAACTCTCCAAAATACAGTTGAGATTCACGTCACTTCGTGCACAGAGTCGCGGTTCATGATCTAAAGCGTATACCCTCTCGAGCCTCTTTACTCTGGTCTAAGCGACTCTGGCGTTGGCTATGATAGGGTTGGTGTCCCGCGAACTGCTTGCTTGGCTACCAGACGGAGTAAGCAACTGCTTAAGGAGACACCACCGCGAGCCACATCTGCACGCATCTGCAGGCACTCACTCATATGCCACCATATGCGGGTGCCAAAGGAGGTAGATTAGTCAGCGGTGTTCCAGTGCCACCCTTTCGGCAATGCTTCCGGCTCCTTGGCCTCCTCAAATTTTTGCCACTCCACCTGTTGTTCGCCCACTCTTATGATTTCTGATGTGAAGATGGTCGAACTGAATAATACTTGCTCTGGTCTCTAAATTTATATGCAAATGTTGTTCGGATGAACCATACCATCGGGTACACAAGGTTTGCACAAGCTTTAATCGCCGGGTTTTGAACTTTGTTCTCCATTATCAAACTCTAACAGGACCCAACATCTTCAAGCGGGGGTATTGAGCTTTTTCCACACCTCTTGAGGGGTAAAGTAACTTGATCCATGGATGTGATTTGGGTTGAGACGATCTGGTGTCTCTCATTGTACAGGGGTCTTTCCCTGGGTGGACCCTCAGATTATTCGCCCGGAGATTTCTGCTCACAGCGGATTTTTGTGACGGTCTGTGGTTAGCACACATTCAAAAAAAGAGTTGCTGCTGCATTCAATGATTGAGAAAAGTTGCATACCGAGACATATTTATGTGATGCTTCTCTAGTTTTTCCCCCACGAGCGTTCCCTGCTTGCTGAGCTACAATTTCAGTGTTATCAATGCTTGTTGATATTTATGCTATCTTTACTCCTGTCTTCAAGAAGTTTCAAATCTAGCCAGGTCTACTCGTATGTGGCTAGATGTGGCTAGAGGTGAAGAATTGCCATCCGAAAACCCCACTGTGATGGAAAATTGGTCTTCCGATCCAGCTGCCGTAGGGGTGGGTTGTGATCAACCGGGTGTCCAGTCTCCATACTTTCTTTCCATTCGGAGTGTTTCCATGAAGACCCACTTCGACCAATATAAAAGTTTAAATGGGGTTCAGATAAGGTGTCCCAATCACAACCTGACGGAGACGTTGACTTCGATCTCATCACCCTGCCCCCCCTGCTAAAATACTGGTTTCTTTCTCGGAACAGCCATTTTTGAAAGTACTCCTCTTTTTCGAACAACCAACTCTTCTCATCAGTCCAGGTTCGTCACCTACGGTATCATGCGTCGATTTCAGTCCACCACACACTGCTATTACTACTCACCATAGAGCCACAACAAGGCATGTAAAGGTTGTCAGCTTCAACGACGATGTCAATCTACTTCTGGGGAGCTTGTTAGAATTTTCTTCGTATTTCTACAATTCTTTTTGTAGTAGATGTCTCGTATTGAAATCAGCGAATGATTCCGTCTACGAAGGTACCAGGCTGAGAGCAAACGCTCGGTTATAGTAAAACTAGAAGTAATAATAGCTAGGCACTAGATTCATTTTGAGCGAGATTAAGCAAGGCCGATTGCTGTTTACGGTTGCCTCCGGGGGCAGGTAAACATCACACCCCACTTGTTGAACTGGTACAATCCGATGCTTGGTGCCAGGACTGCGGGTCAGAATCAGGGGTTCACCTGAAATGGATGGTGCATTGCGTTGCATTTTCATCTACATAACTCCCTCCCATCTTCCCCTTCTTCGGCGAGGTTTTGTTGAGATTCTTGTGGTGTAGTTGGAGCAAAGGTTGAGCTGACACCAAATGTACTCATTGGCATACACAGTATGAAGTGGATTCAATTCACGGTATTATTGGCCTTTGTGCCACGGATTTTGGCTCAGGACGCAAGTTTTTTGCAATTGGTGGCTTCATTGCCAACCTGCGGTGTAAGTAATTTCTATTTACCTCTGATCGAAAGATCGGCAGCTGATCTACAAAAATAGCTCCAATGCCTCGTCACTTCAGTACAAGCTTCCAGCTGTTCCTTGACCAATACAACATGTGTGTGCACCAACGAACCATTGCAAGCAGTCATAGCTTCTTGTGTTGCATCAAGTTGCACCATCAAGGAATCTCTCAGTACGGATTTTGATCTTCCACTCGTACATAAAAACTGACTTGTTTCCAGCTGTCAAGAATATCACGGACGGTCTCTGCCATGTTCCGCTCAATGACAAAAGCGCCAGCTTTGAGATCATTGTTGTCACAATGGGTGTCTTGACCGGAATGATGGTTGCTTTGCGAATGTTCTCGGCTTATATACTGGGGATATCGTTATACGCTGACGATTACACCATCCTGATTACATTTATCTCCGGGATCCCATCGAGTGTCCTACTGGGGCACTTTTTACCAAAGAATGGGATTGGTCGAGACATCTGGCATGTCCCATTCGATCAGATCACAGAGTTCGTCCATATCTTCTATGCTGCAGAAGTTCTCTACTTCGCCCAAGTTTCCCTACTCAAAATCGGACTTCTTCTTTTCTACCTCAGGATATTCTCTAAATCCAAGATTGGAAAGTACATTCACGGAACAATCGCTCTTAATATCATCGTCGGTATAACATTCATCATTGCCGCGCTTTTTCAATGCCAACCAATCAACTACAATTGGAATCGATGGGATGGTGAACACAGTGGCAAATGCGTAAACATCAATGCCGTCTCATGGGCTAATTCTGCTCTGAGCATATTGATTGACGCTTGGATGCTCGCATTACCTATGTCTCAAATGGCCACTCTGCAATTGCATTGGAAAAAGAAGGTTGGTGTTGCCATGATGTTCATGGTTGGAGCCTTGTAAGTTTCTTCTACCCCCGCCGTCTCCAAATAAGATCACTAAAAAATAAACAGTGTCACAGTCATCTCAATTCTTCGTCTCCGAACCCTTGTCATCTTCGGAAGCTCTCAAAACCCTACTTGGGATAATTACGAAGTCGGTGTCTGGTCCGATCTTGAAATCAATGTTGGCATTATCTGCACCTGCATGCCATGCCTACGACTTCTTCTCGTACGGATGTTCCCAAAAATATTCGGTGGATCAGTGAACCGGAGCACCAACTACGCGAAAAACTATGCTAGTAACAACGATAGAAGTCAATTCGGTACCAAAAAATCAGGAGCTCGAAGGCAAGATGATGCGGATGACGTGGAGATTTTGCGAGAAAGTGTAGAGATGGCAAGAATAGGTCCACTCACCCCTACGAGTCAGAGAGACACAAAGACTGGGTTTAAAATCCAGCAACAGGACGTATAATGGATAAAGCTGGAGAAACAGTTCACGACCTTTTTTGATGAACTTGGAGTCCAAAACCCACATTTACTATTTTATCAATTTATTTTGTTCAAACTGATTGAAAAAACGGTCCTTTGTATAATGTTACGACCAATTCATGAAATTCCGCCAGCATGATGTGCTTTGCATGAAGATCGTGTGGAGTATGGTTCACTCTTATTAGATTGACTATTGATTCTGTGGAGCAGAAAGGTTCGAGACCACTTGGCCTGCTTGTGCTCATCTTTTCTGTATTTGTCATTGCCGTGGTCACTGGCCGGAGGACATTTTGAGTGGAGCTTGAAAAAGATCAATGTCGGTACGTGAATAATTTGCTTACGGCATATACAGCCCATCACCGAAAGCCCACTCATGATTTGCAACAGATCCACGACTTGGCTCACTCTTATTATAACTAATCTTTTGATATGCCGCTCGGCACTTCGCAATTTCTGAATACAGAAGTGGAAAAATGCTGAATATAGCGTAAATACACGTGATATACCCCCTTTCAAGAACACCTTAACAACCTATCTACAAAAAACCACATGCAAATAACGATCTCATAGAATTTTATTTAGATTTTTACGGTATGTTTCTATCGTCAGAGTACCCTAATTCGGCTGATCAAAGACGGCATTTACATTTAGGAGTCATGTGATGCGGCTTTGTGATGATACTTCGTGGACAATTTGGATAGGCTAAAGAATGCCTCGCTACTGTGCGACCCAAAAGTTAAATGACGTGAGTGAGAATGAGGGGCTTCCATTGACTTTCCAACTGTCATCATTTCCCTTCGTGAATTTCCAGAAAACACTATATCTTCGGGTGCTCAACCTTATCACTACGTGTAAAGTGACAATGGCAACAGTCTCAGATCTCTTGGTTAATCCTTTTATGCGTGACTGACCACTTCTTTCTCTTCTAGAAAGCTTTGCTAGCTGACCTTTCAACCTAGCGCCTGACCGCATCCCCCGAAATTTGTATCGCACAGCAACGAACAAATCTCAGGGCAAAAACAGCCTCGAAAAGTTTGAATCATCCCGGCTTAAATCAAATGGCTCTAGCATATTCCGAAAGTTGGATGGCGACAGAGGCCGACTGATGGCTGAACTACACCTCAAGTGGAAAACGAAAGTCGGAGAAAGCCGGTTTTTTTCTGACCTTATATCATGGAGTAATACCTTGCTGTTCGCACTCTAATTTGCCGTCAGAGAATACCACGAAGGATACCGCGATGTTCAAATATAGATTCTGGATACTTGGGCTCTGTCCGAATCGGATCGAGAGAATATCCTATCAGCCGCCTATCTGATCGAAAATCTGGGTGTTGATTTACAGTTTCGTCGTTCCAAATGAATTTCTCACCATTGGAGAGCTGCATTCCGCTGGTCACTGTGATCGTATCGCGCTGGAAGAGATCTTCAAATCTTTCCCTTCCCTTATACCAGATGAAACGACCACGGTCACGCTGATGAGGGAGGTTGAGCGTATTCGTACTACATTTTTGTATTCCGCTCCTAAGGATTTTACAGAGTCATATCTAGGCACAGTTCACTCGCTGTGCCAAAACCTTCGTCCAGATTTTCAGGTTCCGTTTTTCCTCTATATATAATATCTATCCCTTCCATATAACAAAGGGGCTAGAAAAACGTGCACAAAACGAAGTTTAAAATTCCGAATATATGAGAGCAAGAACTTATATCATTCTCATCCCGACAATCCATATGAGAAGAAAAACTATGTGGTTTCTTGTCGTTGGAAATACGACCGCCATGCTCTGGGTCCTCTATATTTTGGAACTGGGTCCAAAAGTGGTTTGAAAGTGCGTGATTCGCGTCTTCGCAGTCACTCAGCGCCGTGGGAAGACGCACCGACTATTGACGTGTTGTATAGCGAACAATGACAATAGCCTATACGATTGCATCTGGCTGTGCATAGACTCTGCTGTATATGCCAAGAAGCAGAGATAAATTAATATTCAGAACTCCTTGATACATGCCAGGCTATTTATCAGGACGTGCAGGACAGTGCAGAACTGAGCAACAAAAGCACAGGTATGTTTTGGCTTTGAAAGAAAAGACCGAGACCCAAAATTTAATGATGCTAGTCAAAGCAGGTGGTTACACAAGTCTAAGGGTGAGGAGCTCGAAGGCGATCATACGACGGGATATTCCTGTGAATCTGATACAGATTCAGCCGAGGAAAACAACATCAACGATGATATCATCAAGAGGGTAGAGGGTTTATGGTTGGACTGAAGATTGAAGTTCTCGTTGTGATTCTATAAAAGTCAGTGATATTTTGCTGCTCAATATTTCAACAATTACGAGCAAGGAGAATCTCTTTTTATAACGATGTACGGGCAAGCTCATTCTGGTCATAAGCTTTTTTGGGTGAAATTGTCGTCATTTACTCTATCAGCTCTTCTGGTATCAAAAATATGATTCAGGTCACTGCTTTGTTCAATCTAGTCGCCCTTTTGGCGGGGAACTGCCAACTTTCGCTAGTTTGATTGTGGTTACCTAGGTGCAGTGCACTAGGCACAACCCACCACCATAATTTGACAGCAACGATCACAAAAATACGGTCATGACTTAGAGACATTCATATAGTCTGATCTAGTTCGTATGGTCTAATACATGTGTTGTGTTCTGCCTCTGCAATTATCTCTATCATTCTCTCATATGATCCCTTTTTTCACCTTCCTCAGACATGGACAATCTATTCTATTACATTGCCGACCACCCTCCTTGACTTGCATTTCCTCTACTTTCCAACACACCGATTTCTCTAAAATCATACCCATCGTCATATATCAAATATCTTGAAAAGAAACAACATCAACTTTTAAATTTTATACTGTACATCGAAAGTCTCGAGCTTTTATTTCATGCGCTCCGTATGAGCGTTTATGCTCTCCGTATCCGAAGAGTATCGATACTCAGGGACTTCATATGTCGAATCTTTGAGGTAAGCTGCAGTACCTTCTTTGCTGCTGTCGTCCTGCTTGGGTTTTGAGGCGACAGGAGGAGTGTGGTCATGCTTTGCAGAGGGGTTAAGTTTGGAAGTGCAACTGGAACTAACGTGATGATTATTTAGAAAAGATATCAATAAAGGGGTTACCTTCGAATATCGGTACAGAAGAATAGGAAGTTTTACCTAATAACAAAGTCCTTCTTGTTGTGAGTGGAAGACATTTCAAGGGATCGTTCGGTTAAGGGTAAGATTACTGTTGATGACAGTTCAGGGGACGACCAGCTTATGTTAAGATGAGGGCTTTCCTCCCTTTTGGAATTGTAAAGGAATAATGGCAAGAAGAGCTTTTATCAAAGAATAATCGCGATGCCGTTTTAGGTTTTATCGATTGAAGAGAACGGCGCAAGAAATGTCCAGTATTCTACAGTATACCGATCCTCGAAATAGAAACGCCACAGCAGGACGTTTCTACTTTACCATCCAAACTACGAGACAGTGCGAGTCGTATTTCTACATGGATCTTCAGCGGACATTCTCCAATGTCGGGAGTTGTTACTACCTGAGCTTTGGATTGTATGTAAAGACACAATTGTCCCAACCCGCGTGTATCAATGACTGGTTTCCTCCTATATTATGAATGCCATATCTGACCTAGACCAATGGACCCAGTGAGCAGGTGCAATAATAAACTCTTTGAGAACGCGAGCGCCTTGCGTTTAGAATGAAACAACCTACAAGCCAAACCTTTATTTCATGCAAATGGTGTGGTGTAGAGCCTCACCATACTACTCAGATCCTACTCAATATTTACCACGTGTGATGCACGTTATCTAGGCAGGATAGACTGAGTAGACATTTTACCGCTCCTGCCGCATTTGGAAATTCGGGCATGAGTGTTGTGTAACCGTTACTGTGCCGGGGCGATCGCAACCGCTTGTCTCTATCCTCGCGGCTTTTTCCCTATTCTGATGACCGAAGACGAAGGCAGCTGAGGAGCTGATGAATACATTTTCTTTTATTATGGTTGGTCTGGCAGCACCCCTTGTTACCCCTGGCAAACATCGAAGAGGAAACCCGGCAGCACGACACAACAACTAACAGATACAAGAGAAGGAAATTTAGGATGTCTGCCTTGATGGAAAGGAAGCCTGGAGCTTTGAGTGAAGACCTGGAAAATGTGGCGCAAATTCCACGCCGAATAGATCATCTCAAACCCGCAAAACTACATCCGAGCCAGTCAAATAACGCGGGCTTTTAATTGTGCGGTTTTTTCTTTTCAGAATGTATTCCATGGTAGATATCCTGGCTACAAAACTAAGAACCTGTTTGGCTCGCACAGGTTTTAAAGATGCACCACATGAAAAGATGTTTTAACTATCCGTGTAAAACGTAGATCTGTAGTCTGTTTGGCTCCCACACTTAGATATATACAATTCTAAGATTACATGTAAAAATGTACTAATAAACAATAAGTGTAAAAGATATAGAGTGTCACGAATCACGTGTTAGCATGTGACGAGTGAAGACCAGGCGGCGTCCTGACAGGTTAAGCACTATCATGCTCTTATAGCGAATAGAGATCGGCTAGACTAGCTAAGCGATCCAAGGATTTCATTTGTATGTAGTCACGTGATGGATCTTGGGATCTTGAGGATCCCAAGATCCAGGCAAAGGATCTGGGGGATCCCCAGATCCACGGGGACGAAGGTTCTATATAAGACTAGCACGTCTGCCATTAGATAGGAGCTTCGTGCTCAACTTATTTATCAATCTTATCATATTAGTTTGACATCTTTGATACAAGTAACGAGTTCACTTCCAAGTGAACAACCCGATAGTCTTCTTCTTATCATAGCATACCAACCAGCGAACACCCAGCCATGTTTAGTTAGCCAGTTTGAGTATTCGTTACACTTACCACCATATACGAGTAGTTCCTACACTAAACCTCGCACGAAGAGAGTTCCAAGGTTCTTTCCCTCTATCCTATAGATACTTCGGATCTTTATAGAATAAAATACTAATACGAGTACCAAGTAACAAAATCAAAGCTATATAGGTACCTAGTATTTAGTAATCTTAAAGCTCTTATATTTATATCTATATTCTTATCCTAGCATACCAACCAGCGAACAACAGTCAAGCTTCAGTTAGCCGGATCAGTTATCGTTGCACCTTATAGGAGAGCCCAGGGTTTTTATAATAGTTATATACCCGTTACTATTTAGTCTACGTTTTTGTAACGAATACTCAAACTGGCTAACTAAACTTGGCTGGGTGTTCGCTGATTGGTATGCTATGATAAGAAGAAGACTATCGGGTTGTTCACTTGGAAG